CCCCAAAACCCCAAAACCCCAAAACCCCAAAACCCCAAAACCCCGCTTCTTGGTCACCGAATTGCAGTTTGATAATATTAAATAAAATGGAGTTGAAAACACTGGCTGAAGGTCGTCAAGAGGCTGATTTAGATATATTAGAGGAAGAAGTCAGTCAGAGATTTATCCAGATCTCCGAAGATAACAGTGCTTTGTGATCGTTCAATGTGGTTCAAGATGTTGATGGGTCAGTGGTGCTAGTACCAGATCAGACGGAGAAGAGTAATGAAAATGTTAAGGGGATTATACTTATGTTGATAGCTGGGGTTAATTTCACCATGGCTTCTATTACCTGCAAAATGGTGTATGCAAGAAATGATTATCTGAATGGAATCGACTACCTTCTGGTAAGATCAATAATCCATGTCAGTATATCCTCCATGCAGATATTGTATGCCAAAGTAAATATTTTTGATGTCAAGAAAGAGCTAAGATTAGTACTGATTCTCAGAAGTACTATTGGTGTATGAGGAATGCCTTGTTACTTCATCGCAATCAAATACATTCCTCTTAGTCTAGGCACACTAATTTTTAACATTAATCCTCTAATAGTCGGGATTCTTTCATATCTTATCTTGAAAGAAAATATCACATGGCTTAAAGTTATCGCTCTTGTTGGAGCGTTTACTGGTATTTTCATCCTGACTTTTCATAAAGATGAGGATTACCAAGCAGGGCAATTTTATATGCTCGGGCTAATATTGGTAGGAATTAACTGTTGTACTGCAGCTGCTAATTCCTTAACATTAAGAGCACTGAATAAGCAGATTCATTATTTATTGAGCCCTTTCTGGTTTTTCTGCACCTCATTATTACTTGCTCTTGTGATACTTGCTGTATACCCTTCGGCCTACCATTTCTCCAAATTTACAATCCCAGACTTGACTATCTTCCTCTTATCTGCATTATTCACTTACGGAGGCCAAATATTATCCTCAAAATCCTTAAAATACGCTGAAGCTTCGCTAATAACCCCTCTACAGTACTTAAACATTCTCTACTTCCTTATCACAGACATTGTTGTCTTCCACTCCAAGTTCACAGTAACGGACGCTACAGGAGGAGCACTGATCCTCATCAGCCTGATGGCACCTGTATGTCAGAGCTTCTACTCTAAATATTGGGCAGTATAATTAAGAGACTTGAATGCTTATTTTTGGGGCTCAATTTTTAAGTGAAGTTGGGGTTTTGGGGTTTTGGGGTTTTGGGG